TTTGTGTTGTCATGACGTGACGGTAGTTTACAGAAATAAGCAGAACTTCTCTTGTATGAAAAAGTATGCAAATGCATGGTGGTCTGGTGGTCCGGCTCTATGAGTTAGTTCATTTTCTAGAGCGTGAATATCCACTGAAATGGGGCTGCAGGGTGCAGGTAGCTTAGCTTAGGTAGTCGCTGTTGGGCTGCATGCTCCATGCTTTTCGTTCTGCAAAAGGCCATGTGAAGACTAGGCTTCGACGATGACTCTGATTTAAAGTAGCGAAGAAAGAGACTGGTGGAAGAACTGGACTGGATAAGCAGATGAGAAAAAGAAAAAGAAAAACAGAAATTTGACATGTCACTTGTCACATGGAGATTAATAATTATTGTTAAAGTGAGTAACCCACACCCTCTATTTTTATAGCTTTTGAATGTTGAGCTACTCCAAAAGTTAAAAGCTGCTTCTCACCAAGCACATGGCGCATCGTTTGCTTTTTTAAAGCTCCGCTCCGTATATGTGTGTGTCTTCCAGTAAGACTGATATATATATATATATATATATATATATATGTATGTGTGTGTGTGTGTGTGTGTGTGTGTGTGAGAGTAGACAATATAGGGATACTACTTGTGTTTGAGAGTTGAAGCTTCTAATTTGTAAAGAGCCAAGCTAACAGGCAAACTTAGCTGCTGCACTGCTCTGCACACCCAAATCTTACATGTAATCTTTGCTTTGTTGGTTGTTAACTTGTTATATATAATAACCTATTGCTTTCGGAATGATTAACAATCCCAACTATGGTAATAATTTCCTACTGCCGGAGATAAAAGAAAAAAAGAAGATAATCAAGAGGTTATTAATATGGTTATCGAACGGGCCCAAAGTGTCTTGAATTAGATAGGTTAACAGTATAATTGCATTGCGTCATTACCGTCAAAAGTTGCGTGTTGCTTGCTTGCATTGCACCGACGGAATATTAATTTATGCAGCTGACATAGTGAACCATTTCAAGATCAGCACATAGAATAGAAGTGGGATTGAGTAAGCCACCGTCCATCGCGGTATTAAATTCCTGGAAATTCCAATTTCTTTTTAAAGTTGATCAATTAATCCCGATAATTCTGATATTGGTGTTCAAATGCTTACGTGATCAGGGAATGAAAATTCTTAGACCAAATATCAGAGATTCTGGAGTTAACCCCTAAACATGAGTGGTTTCTTTTGTTGAGTACTTGACTGGGACAAGAGGGTGGATGGCTTGTGCAGGTAAAGTGTCAACTTTGACCACTGTGGTGGCTAAATAAAGTAGGCTAAGCTAATTAGCTAATTACCTAACCAACCAGAGAATATTAAGTACCACGTCTGAATCAAAGCTTAATTAGTAATGATAATTTATGGGCTATCAGCATTTTCTTATATCTTCCAATCCAACCCACCAGCTCTGCTTCCTCTGCTCCTCTATTATTACCCCAACCAAAAGTATCAGTAAATTTAATCTCCTTCCCTACATCACACCATCATTATCTGTAACTTTCATTTCACATTCACAGTAGAAAACGAATCTCGTTTCACCCTATGGTAATTTCTTTTGGGGGGGAGGGTTATTTCTTATCACCATCATCAAAAGCCTAAAACTCTGTCACACACTACACAATATTAGTTTTGATATTGACCCTAAAACCATATTATATTCTTCTTCTCTCCTACTTTCCTCCAATCCATTCCAAGGCCCTCTTCCTTTCTGGCTTCCATTTGTGTAAGCCATGATTGTTGTTTCCCATCCCATACCTCCTACTTTATATTATTCATAATTATTTCATCTTTTATTTCCCTTGCTGTACTTCTGTTATTGGCATTGCTGGTAGTTGATCAACTGCTTAAATTAATACAAAAGGTCCTCTTCTCTTCTCTTCTCCTCTCTTCTCTTTCTATGACTTTTATTGCTTCCTTTATCTCTTCATGTACCTGTTTTTGCTAAGCTGGCTTGCTTCTTGTGTTGCTAAATCATCAGAACTAGCTAGCTCTCTATTTTCTACCATCTTCAGAAAATCATCAGAATGCCTCCTACATATTTTCCTCTTCGATGGGAGAGCACAGGGGACCAATGGTGGTATGCTTCTCCGATTGATTGGGCAGCTGCTAATGGTCACTATGACTTGGTTCGAGAGCTCCTCCGCATTGACAGCAACCACCTCATCAAGCTCACATCTTTACGCCGAATTCGTCGTCTTGAGACAGTATGGGATGATGAAGCACAGTTTGATGATGTAGCCAAGTGCCGTTCAAACGTTGCTCGAAAGCTTTTCTATGAGTGTGAATCCAAGAAAGGAAAGAACTCTCTCATCAGGGCTGGTTATGGTGGATGGCTTATGTACACAGCTGCCTCAGCTGGACATCTCGGTTTTGTTCAAGAGCTACTTGAAAGAAACCCTCTGCTTGTTTTTGGGGAAGGAGAATTTGGGATTACTGATATACTGTATGCTGCTGCTAGGAGCAAGAACACTGAGGTTTTCAGGCTGCTCTTTGACTTTGCTGTTTCACCGAGATTTATGACAGGCAAAGGTGGAGAGCTGGAAGAACACATTGGGGACATTCCTTCTGTATACAAGCGGGAGATGGTTAACAGAGCAGTTCATGCTGCTGCCAGAGGAGGAAATTTGAGCATTTTGAAGGAGCTTCTTTCCGATTGCTCAGATGTTTTGGCTTACAGGGATATTCAGGGATCAACTATCCTCCATGCAGCAGCTGGGAAAGGGCGGGTAGAGGTGAGAGGCTCTCCCCCTTATGCTAGTCTAAATGTGCTTTTGCAAAGATTCAATCTTTTTTCTTCTTTATTCTTTTGACCAAACAAAAAAAAAAAACCCAGCTGTTGTAAGCTCTGCTTTTCCAAATTGCGCCCTTTATTTTTCCTTTTTCTTTTGTGCATGATTCATACACAAGCATATATCAGCTTAACCAAGTACAATTTGAGGTTATGCGGTTGTATATAGTAGGATGAATAGAAACATAAATTTTGTGTGGCTTTTCGTGGTTTTATTTCGTAAAGCATATCATGAATGACTCCATTGATATTTAACTTTAATGTATATTCTTGCTTCCAGAGAAGTTAGATGACTGATTCATGATTGTTCCGAAGTTTGATTGATGCTTATTCAGAATTTACTTTGAAAGAACACTTCATTTGCAGTTCCACATCTTATACTTTACTTACTTTGTGGATATATTTTCCATAAACTTTCCAAAAGGTGTAAAACTCGGATCGTTTTTAGTAAGCACCGTTCTACTTGTTTCATGTAAGACAGAGGTTATCCCTTCCATGATTGAGATCAAGATTCAAGATTTGGCCTGACTTGAACTATTGCAATGATTTGATCCATACACTGAATTAATGTGACCAATCTTGTCATTCATGCAGGTTGTGAAGTACCTTTTAGCATCTTATGATATCATAAACTCCAATGACCATCAGGGCAACACAGCATTGCATGTGGCTGCTTCAAGGGGTCAATTAGCTGCAGCTGAAGCTCTTATATCTGCTTCTCCGTCGTCCATTTCCATGAGAAACAACTCTGGAGAAACGTTTCTCCACAAGGCTGTATCTGGTTTTCAAAGTCCTGCCTTCCGAAGATTGGACCGACAAATTCAGCTTCTGAAGCAATTGGTATGTGGGAAAGCTTTCAACATTGAGGACATCATCAATGCCAAAAACAACGAAGGACGGACTGCCCTTCACACGGCAATCATTGGGAATGTTCATTCTGACTTGGTGCAACTGCTGATGATTGCTCAATCAATTGATGTCAATGCCCGTGACATTGATGGCATGACAGCACTTGATTGCCTCAGACAATGGCCTCGTTCTGCATCGTCTGAGATACTAATTAGGCAGTTGATTTCAGCTGGGGGGATATTTGGTTGTCAAGATTACAATGCAAGAAAAGCCATTGCTTCTCGGTTGAAGATGCAAGGTGATGGAAGCAGTCCTGGAACATCATTTAGAATTTCTGACACAGAAATCTTCTTACATACAGGCATTGAAAATGTTTCAGATGCCACTGCTGATCAGCATAGCACAGAAAACAATTCACCTTCACCAGAACTGATCAGCCCATATGACCCAACCAATGAGAACCGCAGCTCATTCTCTAGTAAAAAACCAGGTTCTGTAAATTATGCAGCACAACAGTTGAAACGCGTCATTGGCTGGCCCCGGATGAAGGAGAAAAAACCCGAAAGATTCAAGAAATCAGTTGATTTTGGTTCGGTGGATTCAAACAAGATATGGAGCAGTTCAGATGATGCACCAACACCACTTCGACAGAGATTTTCAAAGCCTTCATCACTTGCGAATAACAAACGGACACTTTCTGTGAGGAGCAACCAATCAAGTCCATCTGCGAAGAAGAGGTTTGCTTGTGGCATAAGGCATGGTGTTCTGCAGGCAATTCCACACATAACTGTTCCACGTCGGTCGCGCTCTAGTTCATTTTCAAAATCATCATCAATCTCTTCACCTAGTTCTCTAGATAAACAAAAAGGTGTGTACATTGAAACTGATACTGCTGGACCATCTTGGTCAAATCAAGTAGTTGATGATGAAACGCCAAACTTGGGTAAACAAGGCTCCCTGAATAGAAGGCTGAGGAGCCAGTATTTCTGTTTTGGTGCCTCAGGCCTATCTGTGAAAAACCCTGTTAGCAGGCAGCAGCAGCAGCAGCAGCAGAACCAAAGTTTCAAGCATGCTTCTCCTCCTCCTCCTGTTATTTCAGTGGCTTGAGTGAGTTGATGTGAAGATGTGAAGAGTTGGGTGGTTGCATTGCAATGAAGCAGACGTCAAAACACAGAAAGGAAAGGAAGTGCTCGGTGCTTGGATATTATATGCAAACTCACTAACATAGAGGAAGAGATGTAACTTGAATAGCTTGTACTGTTACTTACTATTTATGTTTTTCCTATCTTTTACTTTTATCTTATGCTATGTTATGTTTGCTTGTTTTAACTTGTCTAGATTATGAATGATAAAAAGAGAGAAAAAAATTCTAGTTAAAAACTGTTTGCATCAATCTGTTTCTAGTCCATACCATTATGCAGGTTCTTTGGGCCAATGTGCTCTCTAGCAATCCCTAATCTTAAGAAGAAAAAAAGCCCTTAATTTCTCCTTAGAATTATAACAGTAGGCCCAAATCAAAAAACAAGTTGCGCTAGCTTTTCAAGGAACAAGGACTTGTGTGGCCTGCCGCAGCCCAACACTGTAAAGGTCGTCTAATTTGGTCAACAGCCATGTCTTTTTCTTCTTGTTTTGGGTTCTGCCTGCGTACGGCTTGTGAACGTGGTCCTACCACTGCCACTTGCATAGTCTTTGTTTCTTTCTTTGTTTATTGTTTCTTTGAACAGACAAGCCAACCTCTGATCCAGACATAAAGTTCATCTAAACAACTCCGACGAAAAAACAAGTTGAAATCCAAAAGGCACAACTTTTTTTTTTGGACGAAATGAGCAACCGATAGCGATAGAATAATACAACTGGTCAAACCCTAGCTAGCGACATTCGAAACGAAACCACCCAATTTATCAGCGCCAAGGAAGTCACAGTAAGGAGGAGAGTTGCCTGGTTCAAGTCAACTTTGGTGTAAGCATCTTATCTTAATATGCTCTGCAAGTATACGTACTTGCTTGAGTCTATCATCTTGTCTAAATTATAAACCAAGATTATAAGCCATAGAAATTGTTGCTAGTTGTATCGCATATAGTATTTGGTGGTAACTTTGTAAATCTTCAGTATTTCCTTGTCCGAATAAAACCAACAAATCCATGGTCGACAACATGTTATTATGTTAATGTTGAATTTCTTCATCCCTCCACCACACCTCCTCTTTTTCTTCTTCTTTATTTGTTTTTTTGGTAACAGATCATCGCCTCTACATCGTCTTGAGAAGGATAGAGATATTATACCCTCAAGTATTTATATAAGTGGACCCTGGCCAAGGGTAAACAATCATACAATCAACGTCAACCCTACCTATAGGATACTTTTCTTTGCCATTAGTTAATATCAGTGCATCTATATGTTCACACGCAAAGTAAAATGATATGAAAATTCTTGGTTCCAAATTTATAAAAATAAAGCGCGCGCATACAAACACACATATATATACGTCATTAAATTAATCTCAATCTATCCGTTTAATCAACAAATGTTTTGTTATCGCGCTATCTCCCAAAAGAAATTCTTCAATGTTAACATCGTCAGGTAAATCCAAGCACAAGCTTCCATAGATTTGAGAGAGTGAATTCCAAGTCTTTGACAATTTCCTACTAAGCTTAGGTAACGTAATGGCACAGTTGTCCCTAGTCGCAGATAACTCCACTTGAAATTATTGTACCTGTTTTCCTGCCTTTGACATCTACACAATTATATGAATGAATATCAGACGTGGGTCATAATGTATATATAATTTCCTCTAAGTTTCTTGGATATAGTTGAACTAGAGACCCCTAGCGGCTTCGATTATATTTTTATTATGTACCTCTTTTTCGTTAAGTTGAGTACGAAACTCTATCTGCCTACAATTTTCGACTTTAATTTTGCGGGCTTGATTTAATTAAGGGTTTCTTCTTCTTGTTTTCCTCGAAGTGGACTTGTTGTCGATCGTGAACCTTTTAGCCACTCAGCGTAGGTTGTTCAAGTTTAAGTTTAAGGCAAGTGCTTTGACATTAATCCAATTCCAGTGAATGGCCTAACAATAAAGCTAGCTTACAACTTATGGGTCCTAAACAGGTGAAGTGTACACAGCATCTTCCTGGCGTCTAGTGTTGACCGCAACTTCTGGGTCCAAAGTCTTCGTGTGTACAATTTTGGCTAAAATTTCCACAATGTCCACTCCAGTTGTTCCACGGTTTCTTCTGCTGATGGGACACATATTTGTTGGACAGATGGATTTGCATTCCTTATGGAAATGGGGTGGGTATCAAAAACTCAAGATGAAGACCCCATCTGGTAATAGTGGCGAAAGTTTCCACGTATAATGACGCTTAAGAATCAAAGATCGTGAAAATGCGCTTATATTTCAAGTGATTAAAAGTATTTATTCTTGAATATGAAGTTTTAAGTTCGATTCCTCCCTTACAACCAATATCGTTTGTTTCGTTTGTCTAAAAACGAATCAAAGAATATTGTGTGCCCCACCACGCCTGCAAATTGGGAGTGGGAAGAAGATCAATCAAAAGCAAGTTCAGTTTAAACGCAACTTTAGGAACTTGCGCCCCCCATTCAGCCATTCAGCCATTGACCACTTTACACAAATACTTGCATTATTTCATCTTTGAATATGAGCGAGTCTCTGAGTGGACCGCCGAATTCTTTTGCGATTTTTTATTACAAATACAAAGGAGTATGTCATTTTGAAGACCAAAACTTTTGTTTTCACAGCAACATATGATAATGTTATTATATTATGCATAATGCACCCATCATGAGTCATATAGTTGAAAGAAAAATAAAAGATTTATTTTAGATTCCTCCAAGGAAGTGAGATTCTGCTAAGAAAGGTCAACGTTCTCATTGTGTTGCTTGAGAAATCAAATTTGGGTGGCTCTAGCTCAGGGGAGGAGGATCAAATTTGGGCAGGCCACTAATTAGAGGTGGGGAAAACTATGCGTACAATACAATACACATGCGACTAAATGGAAGTGCAAAACACTTGAAAAGTCCAACCAAGGAAAAGTAAAAGTTTGCAAGTTTTGGTGTTAACCGTTGATTATTGTTTTTGCTTTCTGCTTGGTTCTTCTGGGGCCTCCTCCGCCCTCGAATCTATTTGATATGTCAGACTCATATGTCAAAAGCTATAGAAATATCTACAACAAGCATCATCATGTGAGGTGAGTGCCTTGATTTGCCTTGCATTGCCTTGGTGGTGGTGATCATTATACATATTTATTCGTCTTTTTAATTAATTTTTCCACCACGTTTCATATGAATTCAAATATTCTCCACTGAATCTTTCATTCACTTAACCTAACCAAAAAAAAAAAAAAGTGAATCTTTCATTTGGCACTATCTACTTGATTCTAGTCTGTTCATTCATACATACATTAGTCACAAATTAATAAAGATATAAAAATACTTTCCTCTTTACCGTATAAGTAGGATCTCCTATATTAATTTTTGCCAATAGCAATATGACATGTATACATAAGTTTTTTTTGTTTGTACTTTTGATGGATTATTTTTACATATATATTAAACTGTGATTCGCATAAAGAAAAAGTATCTCCTTTAAAGATATATCATTGGCCGCCCAGCCTTGCCGTCTCCCTTACTCATTGGCCTAGCAGTCAGTCACCAGCAAATTACCAGCACTCGTTCACATGATTAATATATATATATATATGTGGTAAAATATTATATTATATGCATCCAGTATTTAAGGAGCAATTTTAGTATCTAAACGAGGGCTGGGCATTTGGACATGAAACCCGGCCAAACCGCCCAAATCAAACCGATGGGTTGGGTTGGTTTGGTTTTTTTTTTAAAAAAAAATTTGTCATCAGTTTGAACCCAAACCAAACTGAAATATATGATTCGGTGTACGGTTTGCAATATTCAAAACCACTGTTTAACCAAATCAAACCGAAGATTTTAAAAAATATTATATATAATATTATTATAAGAAATATATATATATAGATATATAATACATAGTTTCAATCTTTTCTTTTTCTTTTATCTCAATCTCTCCGTTTGTCTTGTCTTCATCAGTCCCTATCTCTCTATTTTTTTTCTTCTCATTCTTCTTATATCTGTCTTCACTCCCTCTCCTCGTCTCTCTCTTCTTCTTCTTCTTCTCCATCTCTCCCTTTTTTTTTCCCTCTCCTCTCCATCACTTTTATTTCTTCTCTCTCTCTCTCTCTCTAAAAGAGCCAAAAAACCGAAACCGAACCAAACAAAACCACCAAGTCCGGTTAACCGAAGTGGTCGGTTTTCATCAATTATGGTTTGGTTTCGGTTTTCAAAATAGCCAAATCGAAGCCTATGGTTCGGTGTCGGGTTAAGCCCAAAACCGAACCAACCAAAACCGAGCCCAGCCCTAATCTAAACTAACTTAAAATTCGTCACCCCATGAACCACATCTCCTGTTTCCATAACCACTTTTATCGTATAGTTGACATTCCCTGGTGTATAAATGTATAAAAAAAATTAACCAAAAATTATTACAGATTCCTTAGTTTGGAAAAATAAAAAAGAAATTGGTGAGATTTCTTCCAATATTCTACTTAGTTTCCTGTAATATATATGCATGATGAGATTTTGAAGTTGCATGTACTTATATCACAATATTAAATTTTCATATTCCGCTGTTGCACGCCATGATTTCATATGAATTTATATCGTTTAGCACACTTTTGTAAAGAGGATAAATCTTATCATGATCCAAAAATGTAGTCCTAATGAAAAACTAGTCACTTACTCAATCAATTCATAACAACATGTTCGAATCTCTCTTCCCCTCAGTACTTATCCAAATCCAATACTAGTGAGTCCACAGAGGTATTAATATTCACATGAGTTCGTCGTGGGCAAAGCATAGTGATGATCATTATCATCACGGACAAACTATCATGGGATTGGTAAACTAGCATACATGATATATATATATATATATATATATGTGCAACATTAATTTCTATTCTATTTCCGTTTTCAAGTAACTCATGGTGCAGAGCAGGCCAGGTCGCCATCTTGGAATTATAGTAAAATCACCTCCCTTAGCCATCATACAATGTTAGAATGAGTGTTGATATTTCCGCTCCTGGTCTTATTTCTTCACTTACCATGTAAATTTTAAAAAACACAATCATATCTTTTCACTCACCATTATTTCTAAAATACAATTTAATTATTAATTCAAACAAATTCTCTTTATTAATCATTAGTACGTAGTTGAGATATAGAGAGGATCAAGTTGTGTTTGATAGACTATGAATAGTATATTAATACGAAACGAAGACCATGAATAGTATATTCACATTGATTCAACAAGTGAACAATGACCATCACCAC